ATTTTAATACTACAGATAAACTGTGTGTCTGTTTATGTACTGTGGCCCTTTGGAGGACCACAAATCATTGTAATATCTAAGATTTTTTTTTTGTCCCCTTCCAGGCACCAATTTCTGATCCATTGGAGACAACATCGCAAATTCATAATATGGATTCTTATTATTTTTGTGTGTGTGTGTGTGAGTTGGAATCTCACTCTGTCGCCCAGACTGGAGTGCAGTGGCCGTTCCAGGCCTCCGCAGCCTCGACCTGCTGGGCTCCGGCGATCCTTCCACCTCAGCCTTCCAAGTAGCTGGAACTACAGGCGCGCGCTACCACACCTGGCTAATTTTTGATTTATTGTAGAGATGAGGTCTCGCCAAGTTACCCAGGCGGGTCTCGAACCCACGGGCTCAGGCAATCCACTCACCTCAGCCTCCCAAGGCGCGAGATTACAGGGTGAGCCACCGAGCCCGGCTCATATTATGGATTATTACTGCCACCCCAGAACATTCATTTATTCCCCTTCCCAGTTAACCCCAGTGCCCTCCCAGAGACAACCACTTGTTCTGATTTTTTTTGCTATAGATTAGTTTTGCCTAGTGACAAAATGGAATGATACGTTGTGTACTCTTTTTGCATCTGGTTCTTTCACTCAGCATGATGTCTGAAATTCATCTTGTTGTCGCATATTCAGTAATTTGTTTCTTTTTATTGCTGAGTAGTATTTTAATTGCATCAGTATACCGCAATTTGTTTATCCATTCATCTGTTGATGGACATTTGTATTTTTCCATTTTGAGCTATTATGAATGAATTATGTCTTTATTGGACTTATGCATTCACTTTCTGGGTAAATATGTAGGAATGGAATTGCTGAGTCATAGGGTAGGTATAGGTTTAGTTTTATAAGGGGGGGTTGAATTTAAAATGAAGTGCGTTAGCTCATTTTTTATTTTTGCTGTTGTTGAGATGGGGTCACTATGTTGTCCAGGCTGATCTTGAACTCCTGGGCCCAAGGGAGTCTCCCACCTCAGCTTCCACAGTAGACAGGACCACAGGCATGCCACAGTACATAGCTGCCTTAGCTCATTTAATCCTTACATCAACAGTGTGAGACTGGTACTATTATTATCCTCATTTATAGTTGAAGAAACTGAGTCCCTGGGGAGTTAAGAAACTCAATGTTCTAGAAGGCTTAGGACTTGTTCACTCCCAACCCCCATTCCCTGCAATTGCCTGGCCCTTTCTGCCCTCAAGTAAGCTTCCTAGAACATAACTGAGATTCTTTAGAGGTTTTTATTAGCCTTCATCTGTCCTTCCTCTCAGCAGCCCTTGACTCTCTGGGCAATCTTCTCTTTTCTTAGTTTCTAGAACTTTCCTAGTTCTCCTGCCTCTGCTGTTTACTCTTGTTTCCCTTTTGACTTCTCATGTTCTCCTCAGGTCTGATATTTCCCAAGGTTCTGTGCTCTTTAAAATGATGGCTCTGGGCCAGGTGTAGTGGCTCACACCTATAATCCCAGCACTTTGGGAGGCCGAGGTGAGAGGATTGCCTGAGCTCATGGATTCGAGACCAGCCTGGACAACTTGGTGAGATCTCATCTCTACAATAAATAAAAAAATTAGCCAGGTATGGTGGCAAGTGCCTGTAGTTCCAACGACTTGGAAGGCTGAGGTTGAAGGATCACCTGAGCCCAGCAGGTTGAGGCTGCAGTGGCCATAAGTATGCCATTGCACTCCAACCTGGACAACAGGGTGAGACCCCCAACTCAAAAAAATAAAAATAAAATAAAATGATGGCTCTGGCTGTTGCTGGGAATGGGAACTGAAGGAACAGATGGAAGTAGGGGATCTGCCATCCAGGAAAGAGATGGGGGCGGCCTGAGCTAGATGGCAACTGAGGATTGGGAAAGAAATGAATAGATGAGAAAGCTATATCCCAGATGCCACCCAGCCTTCTGGCTTGGATGGCCAGCTAGATGGTGGTGGCCTTCAGTAAACTGGACAACAGCAAGAAGAAGACTAAACTTGGTAGTGGGGTATGAGACCTTAGTTGGCAAGGACATATTGTTAGTAGCTTCATTGATTACCAGCCATCTTCTCTTTTGACTATAAGCCCCACGAGAGCAGGAACTGGTCTGTATTATTCACTGTTGTGCTCCCAGGGCCAGACCTGGCACCACACAGACCCTTGCTAAGTGTCTATAGAATGAATGACAGATCTGAAGATGAGCAAGTTGAGGAGGCAAAGTGGACAACAACAAAAGGAAGACCAAACTTGGTAGTGGGGTATAGGGAGGGGGAGCAAAGTTTGGGACTTCCATCTGGACAACCGACTTGAGGAGTTCTGGGCAAGTCAAGCAGGCCGTTGGCTGTGTGGGTGGAGCTCATAGCAGGACTGGCCGATGTGCTGGCTTACTGGCACCAGTAGCATCCCTATCCTCCCAGGTTCCCAAGCTCAATCCTCAGCAGCCACAACTGCTTTCTGTCCATCCCTCACCCAACCTCCTAAATCCACTGGGTGGGTCCTCTTCATCTGTACCACAGGGACAATAATAGTATCTACCTCTTATTGGCAGTTGTGAGCAGTAAATGAATTAGAACACAAAAGATGCCAAGAAACAGCCGGGTGTGTTATCCTGGCACTTGGGAGACTGAGGCAGAAGGATCATCTGAAGCCAGGATTATCAGACCAGTCTAGGCAACAAACAAGATCTCATCTCTTAAAAAAAAAAAAAAGCATAAATTACCCAAGCACGGTGGCTTATGTCTGTAGTCCCAGCTACTCAGCAGACTGAAGTGGGAGGATCACTTGAGCCCCGGAGTTCAAGGCTGCAATGAGCGCTATGATCATATCAATGTACTCAGCCTTGGAGACAGAGTAAGACCTTGTTTCAAAAAAAAAAAAAAAAAAAGATGATGAGAGGCATGCTAGGCACGTTTGCTCTCACCATCTCCTCTCTCCCTCTCCTCCATACAAAGATATTTCTAGCACAGTCCATGGGTCAGGCTTGGTGCTAGCCATCTCTCAACAACTCAGTCTGGAAGTCCTCCCACTGTTGCTCAAAATACCTTCACCATGTTTTGTTTTGTAGAGGTGAGGTCTATCTATGTTGCCTAGGCTGGTCTTGAACTCCTGGGCTCAAGCAATCCTCCCACTCAGCCTCACAAAGTGCTGTGATTATAGGTGTGAGCCGTTATGCCCAGCCCATTCTAAATTCTGCAGGAAGACTCTGGTTCCCCCCAAGTCCCTGAGTGTCCCTTGAGTCGTCTTGAGTGGCTTTAGAATCCCTATTTTGAGTTGTCCTTCTCTGAGACTCCAAGCACCCAGGGGATGAGGTGGTGACCTAGGTGGAAAGGGGGTGGGTGAAGTTTTTGCAGGCAGCTGAGGGGCCGTGAGGAGGAGGTAGCATTGGGCAACAGCAGTTGAGTAACATCCCCAGCCATCCAGTGGTCAGTGGCCACAGGCGCCAAAATGATCACGTGAATAGGGTGTCCTAGGGGCCAGCAAGCAAGGCTAGGCTGCAGCTCCCAGGGCTCTTCTCTCCCTATCCGTGTCAGCACTCACTAGATCTGGCCTCTCAGGCTTGCTGCCAGCGAGGGTTGGTATGAGGGTTAAGAAGGCCTGAGGAAGACAGGCACTACCCAGCCTGGCCTCAAGCATGGCAGCTGCCCCCTCAGCAGCGGCACCTGTTGCTCTACCACATTTCACTGACTTGGCAACTCTCTACCATTGCTCTGTGTCTTCTGCTTCTTCCAGTCATTGGTCCATACCTGCCTCATGGCTCCCACTGCCTCAAGACTTCTGTTCTCTGCTCCCAACAACCAACTCTTTCTGCACATCTCACAGACGGGCCCAGAGCTTTCAGCAAGGCCAGGGCACAACCCATAGGTCAACTGGCCTGGGCCCACTCAATAGTGGGGAGCCCAGTGGGAGGGTCACAGGGTCAGCTTTGCTCAGAGAAGCCATGGGGATGGTGGGCATGTGGCAGCTACCTGAGGGCCTGGGGACTGGCAGGGCCCTGGCATAGCTCAGTAGATCCCAGCTTCCACTGGGAGGGACCAGGTCCAGTCCCTGAAGCTACCATTGTTCTGGAGACTAGCGCTTCACCGGAGACATTTAGGGACATGGCTCCCCAAGAGGCTGAGAATATCAGTGGTCTGAGTTCCTGGCTGGGCCCTGAATGACAAGGCTCAGCCTTCTAGGAGGTCTGGATCCAGAGGGGGTTTGGCTGAGCACACAAACCTCAACATAAGGTCATGACATATAGGTAAAGCCAGCCCTGAGGGTGCTTGAGGCTTGGAGCAGGAAAAAGCAGGTGCTTGGGGCTTGGAGCCACAAAAGACAAAGGAGGAAGGCTCGTGAAGGGGGAGGCATGAGGGCTGGCAGAAAGATGAGAAATGTGACATGTACAGAAGGGGAGGGCATGCCAGTGGGAGGAGAGCAAGCTCAGAAAAACACATTGGAGTCAATCACAGAGACAGCTGGACTGCAGGTCTTAGGGTTTGTCTTTTCCCTGGGCTCTAGAGGGAGGCCTGCTGCCCTGGGTAACCTGCCATAGAAAGGTAATGAGAAAGGGGGTCCACCGTGGAGTTCTGAGCCCATGGGTGATGGATCTGGTTTTGTGCCCTGGCTGCCTGAGAAGGGAGAGGCTGTGATCCAGGGGTCCAGACCAGAGGCCACATCAGTGATGGGGACAAGAGGCAGCAATGCCAAGATGCCCTTTGCTCTAAATACAGCTCCACAACTGTTTCCATCATGCACACCAGAGAGTCCTAGTGCCCATTTGTTGACACACATCTGCTCTCCTGGGGTGTCATCATGTCCCCTGATCTGTGAGGAGTGAAGCCTGATGCTATTGATAATACCCACTGGGCCTCTCATGCACACACATCTGGGAGCCCATTACTCCGCCCACGCCCAAATTCCCGTCTCCACTCCTCCCACTCAAGCCGGTCACTGACCCTGCTTGAAAATCACCAGGCTCACTTGGAAAACACCAGGCTTGCTCCCATAAGAGGTGTGGGTAAGGCCTGTGTGTTTAGCGATGGCATCTGCTTGGTGGCCCTACCTCACCTTGGCTCTGCTCTCTGGCTTGGCGGTCTCTGGCTTCCCAAGAAGCCCCTTCCAGCTTGGGGTAAGTCTGACTCCTCTTCACCATTTGGGCCTTGGGGGTCAAATAGGCAGAAGGTACCAAAATGGATAAGTCCTCTAAGCTGGGTGAAAATGAGGCAGAAGGCTGGGCACTGAGCTGCTGAACACAGAGTTGGACATTAGGGAAACTGAGCTACAGCCAAGACCTACACTCACCTGCTGTCTAACCCTGGGCAAGGCTTTGAAACCCTCTGGGCCTCAGTTTCCCCACCTGTCAAACGTGCAGTGCACCGTGAACTGCTCACTGAGGGGCCGTGCAGGTCCAAGTCTCAGACGAGAGCAGAGGCCTCTATAAAATATTGAGCCCTGTGGGGGTGGGGGTGTGTTGGGGGGGTGCTTTGGGAGGAGACCCAAGGCACCAGGGGGCTAGGAAAGGCATAGTGAGAGACAGAACGAGGTGGAACCTGTGGGAGCATGGAGAGAGTGCCATGTTCAGTTCTTCCTGCCCTGCTCCCCTGGGTAACCTGAAGATCTGCTCCTCTCTGGACCTCAGATTCCCTATCTATTCAAATTCCTTCCTACTCTGACATATGGCTCTGAGAGAGTCTTACATCTGGGGACCCTCAATGTGTATGTGTGGAGCAGGGGCGCTGCTGAACCCTGATCCCAGTCCAGAGCCTCCCCCAGGCCATGTGACCTTGGCCTTGGCCTGACCCCCTGTTTGTTTTTGTCTTTGTAGAAACGGAGCCTCCCGGAAGGGGTGAGAACTTTCACTGGGAATGGGGCCAGATGGGGAAGGGCAGGATGGAGCTGGCTGCCCAACTGCTAAAGGTGTGGGCAATAACAGCAGGTCCCTCTCAACCGGCAAACAGCTCTTGGCCCCTGCCTGGAAGACACCCACATGACACAAGACCCTGGGAAAGAGCACCACAGAACTCTAGCCCCTCCAGCCTCGTGAGATGCAGCCCAGAAAGTCCCCCCATCCAGGCATCCCTTCCTTCCATAAACACACAGCACTTGGTACCTGGCCTTGTGTGCAGGCTGAGAACGTACAGTGAAGCAGTCTCTTCACACGCTCATGAGGCATCTTCATATCCCTGTTGAACCCCAACATCTCCCTGGGGCCTCCCTCAGTCCAACACCCCTGTTGGAGAGAGGGTGTCTGGGGATTTTCCTTGGCATAGGAAGTAAGCTCCTGTTTGGGAGATAGAATGAGGAGATTACCAAAGGACACAGGAGGCGGGCTAGAGTGTGTGTGAGGGAACGTGCAGTGTGAAGGATGAACAGGAGGAGCCAGAGGCAGCTGTTCTTGGGGTGGAGTCCTGGGTAAGGCTGGAGCTCAGGGTGAGCAGAGAGGGCAGGATGAGATTTCACTGGCTACAGCTGCATGTCATCAGATGACAGAGCTGGGGAGGCAGAGCAAGCATCAGAACAATGGTGGATAATGGAATGTAGGGACCAGGGATGCAGCCTGGGCTTCAGATGGGGAGACTGGGAGGAAGGAGGCGCTGCTCATCAGGTAAGGGCCCCAAAATCTGCAAGGGAGTTTGGAAGGGAGGTGACCAGGTTGCAGACCTGGTTCCCTGTTCTCCCTGATTGGCTGATCTCTGCCCAACTCTCCCACAGGTGACCGATGGCATCGAGGTCTACAGTACCCAAATCAGCTGCAAGGTGACTTCTCGCTTTGCTCACAATGTTGTCACCACAAGAGCCGTCAACCGTGCAGATATGGCCAAGGAGGTTTCCTTTGACGTGGAGCTGCCCAAGACAGCCTTCATCACCAACTTCACCTTGTGGGTGCCACCATGGCTGCTGGCACTAGGCTCAGGCTGGGTTCTGGCCCAATGTGACTCCCCCCCTTAACCCTTTATCCCACAGGACCATTGACGGCATTACCTACCCTGGGAGTGTCAAGGAGAAGGAAGTTGCCAAGCAACAGTATGAAAAGGCTGTGTCCCAGGGCAAGACAGCGGGCTTGGTCAAGTGAGTGTGGACCCCAGGCCAAGGAGAATGCCTTGGCTTCAAGGGACCTCAGGGCTACAAACAACAACTGCTATTATTATTGTTACAACAAAAGGTACCCACAATTTTTACCTATCTCATGGTGAGGCTGAGGCAACCAGGGCTCAGAATGGATGGGGTCTCCCTAAAGCAAAGGGCTGGGGCCTTTTTGAACCTAGGGCCGAGGAAGGGTGGGTTTGTGCAGTCTTTGGAGTAGTCACTGTCTCTCACTGGGTTCAGGGCCTCGGGGAGGAAGCTGGAGAAGTTCACAGTCTCCGTCAATGTGGCTGCGGGCAGCAATGTCACCTTTGAGCTCAGCTATGAGGAGCTGCTGAAGAGGCACAAGGGCAAGTACGAGATGTACCTCAAGGTCCAACCCAAGCAACTGGTCAAACACTTTGAGGTAATCAGCTGCTTTGCCGCCCCTGTGGAAACCGCATGGGGTGCAGGGAAGGCTCAGAGGAATGACATGGTTGTGGCCACACAACAGGGACCAAGGAGAGAGGGATGGGCTGAACTCAGCAGATCCAGATTTGGTGCTGGGCCCTGGAGGGTAATACCACCAAGTGCCTCTGTGGTGCCTACAACTGGGTACTTGCACGTTTTACCTGCCTCAAAACTGAAAACCAAAGGAAAGTCTCCCATGGTGGAAAGTGAGGCACATATGGCAGGTGGTAGAAATGCTTTGGAGTCAGTGTACCCTTCTATAAGCCCCTGGGTCATTCTCCTGGTGAAAGACTCCAGTCTTGAGCCTCAGCATTGTTCTAGGGTGTCCCTGCATCATTACAGACCCGTCTCCTTCCCACTGGCCTTGGCCTGAAGTTGGCCTCTGCAGCCACTGACATGTCTCTGCTTTGGCCATTTCAGATTGAAGTAGATATCTTCGAGCCCCAGGGCATCAGCTTGCTGGATGCGGAGGCCACATTCATCACCAATGACCTCCTGGAAAGCGCCCTCACCAAGTCCTTCTCAGGAAAAAAGGTGGTAGATGCCTCTTATACCTAGGAGACAGGAATACTGACCCCAGCAGGACCCCCTGCCCAGGGCTTGGGTGATGCACGCATTTGTATTGGGGTAGAGGGGAATCAATCTGCAGCCACCACCTTACTCTTTATCTGCTTTATCTGCTTGGGTCAGGAGTGAGGATGCGAAATGCAGGGGCCTGCTGGCAACCTACCAGATGAATGAGTGTCTTAATTGTACTGGGGGATTGGAATCCATTTTTTTTTTTTTTTTTTGAGTTGGAGTCTCAGTCCATTGCCCAGACTGGAGTACAGTGGCCGCTCCCAGCCACCGCAGCCTCGACCTGCTGGGCTCTGGTGATCCTTCCACCTCAGCCTTCCGAGTAGCCGGAATTACAGGCATGCACTACCACGCCCGGCTGATTTTTTGATTTATTGTAGAGATGAGGTCTTGCCAAGTTGCCCAGGCGGGTCTCGAACCCGCGGGCTCGGGCAATCCACTCACCTCAGCCTCCCAAAGCGCGTGATTACAGGCTGAGCCACCAAGCCCGGCTGGGAATCCATTTGTGATGCCCAGTCTCATTCCACCTTGGGAAGCGGACTTGGTAGGGGTCATGGTTCCTGTTTAGCCAATAAGGAGATGAGGTAGTAATTTAGATCCAGTGACTCTACATGGAGGGATAATAGATTAGAAAGAACTCCATTCTCGGAGGAGGGTGGTTGCCCCCTGGTGCCCAAGGCCCCCAGCTCTTCAGGGCCCTTATTGCCAGTGGGGAGTGCATGAATAAATGTTTATACAAACAGACCTCAGTCATTCAGGACTTGCAGGATGAGGTCTGAGGAGCACATACTCACAGGGCTGCTGGCTTCTGCAGAGCCATATCCCTGCCAGAGCCTCCTCCCCGCTGGCCACTCTCCCCCCTCCGCTTCTCTTGGCATCAACACTCCAACATTCCAAGCCACCCAGGAAGTTACTTTTTATGGTGCAAAACTTGCCTCCCTAAGTGACTCCTCAGTGCAGAGCTCCAAGGTAGGCTGAGCAAAAGGGTGTCTGGGCCAGCAAAAATGGAGATGGAAGCTGGGCATGGTAGCTCATGCCTGTAATCCCAGTACTTTAAGAGGCTGAGGCAGGAGAGATGCTTGAGGTCAGGAGTTTGAGACCAATCTGGACAATATAATGAGACCTTGTCTCAAAAAAAAAAAAAAAAAAAAGAAAAGAAAATGTAAGGCTGAATCATGCCCGTGCCCATGCCCCATGCCCTCCAAAGGTAGAGTAGTACTCAGAAAGTCTAGACTGTGGCAAACAACAGCCTCCAATCCCTAGCGGCTGGAGAGCACACCTGGTGGTGGGCAGCTTCTAGCTCTTGCTGGTCTCTATCTGCCTAAGAGCTCCTCTCTAGGCTGGGCACAGTGGATCATCCTGTAATCCCATAACTTTGGGAAGCTGAGCCAAGAGGACTGCCTGAGCCCGGGGGGCGAGACCAGCCGGGGCAACTTGATGAGACCTCATCACTACAATAAATAAAAAAAATTAGCCAGGTGTGGTAGCTCGTGCCTGTAGTTCCAACCATTGGAACTGGAACTTGGAAGGGTAAGGCGGAAGGATTGCCTGAGCCCAACAGGTCAAGGCTGCAGTAGCTGTGAGCGTGCCACTGCATGCCAGCCTGGGTGACAGAGTGAGACTCCAACTCAAAAAAAAAAAAAGAAAAGAAAAAGAGCTCCACCCTGTGAGGGCTGCACTTCTGCTCCCTAGGGCTCCCCAGGCTAGGTCTGCCAGTGGGCAGGCCCCGGCCAAGCTGAGCAAGGGTTCTCCATTGCCATCCCTCAGGGCCATGTGTCCTTCAAGCCCAGTTTAGACCAACAGCGTTCATGTCCAGCCTGTACAGACTCTCTCCTCAATGGAGACTTCACCATCACCTATGATGTGAACAGAGAGTCTCCAGCCAACTTACAGGTACACGGGGGTTGACTCACCATCATTGTGGGTGGGCTGGTGCAAAAGGGGCTGCAGCTGCACATAGAGCATCACCCTCCATCTTCAGCCCAAGGCTGACTTTTCCTACATGGCATGGGATGGCCTAGAGCCTTTGTATAGCACCCTCTTAGAGGGTAGCATAGAAACGTCTATTCTTGGGCTTCTATTTACGAGTAGTCCATGTGGTGTTGCTAAGGGATGTCACCTTTGTCTCTCTCTCTCCCCTTTCTAGATAGTCAATGGCTACTTTGTGCACTTCTTTGCACCCCAAGGCCTTCCAGTAGTGCCTAAGAATGTGGCCTTCGTGATTGACATCAGTGGTTCTATGTCTGGTCGGAAATTAGACCAGGTACTTTCCTCAGCACAAGTGGCAAGTCTCGGGTGGGAACAAAAAGCTGTCATTTGTGGGGAAAGAGGAGAGTGGGACAGGCCTCTGCCCACTTTAGACGAACCTAGCTCTCTGCAGGGTCACTCCTGGGTTCTTGTCTCTCTCTCCTTCAGACAAAGGATGCCCTTCTCAAAATCCTGGAGGACATGAAAGAAGAAGACTACCTGAATTTCATCCTGTTCAGTGGAGATGTGACTACTTGGAAAGAGGACCTAGTCCAGGCCACTCCAGAGAACCTCCAGGAGGCCAGGACATTTGTGAAGAACATCGATGACAGAGGATGTAAGGGCAGAGGGGCCAGACTCGCCTGCTAGCAGCTCCTTCCTCTGCCCCCCACCCCAGCAACCTGCTTCCCCTCATGAGCAGGCCCTGCAGACACGAGCTAGGGTAGAGGGAGGAATAGGCAGTCCTCAGACTTGAAGACAGGACATAGGGTGGCTTCTCTGTGGTCTACAAAAACCGTTGTTTCTGTGTCTAAGCCATGATCCTGGCGCCCTACAAGTCCCAGTAAAAGAAGGCCACAAAGAACCCTTCCTCCTGGCCCTGTTTCTTATGGAAAAGCATGTGTGAGGTCTACACCACACCCCTGTCCCCCTAGCAAGACCATCAGACTGATTGCCAAATTGCTTTACAATCACCGTGGGCCCTCACCCTTCTGCAGCCCTCGCATCACCATTTGAAGGTGTGAGTCATTTGCTGGTTCATGCACTGATTTATTCAGTGTTTGCTGAGTGCCACCATGTACTGACAGACAGGGTCCTTGGGCACACAAGCAGGGCCTGCCATCCCGGCCTCCCCAACTCCAGACTCCCTGCACTTGGCATCCTGAGGACACCTTCCCACGGTGCTGTCTGTCTGTGTCCCAGTGACCAACATCAACGATGGGCTGCTGAGGGGCATCAGTATGCTGAACAAGGCTCGGGAGGAGCACAGAGTCCCAGAGAGGAGCACTTCCATTGTCATCATGCTGACCGACGGGGATGCCAATGTTGGTGAGAGGATGCTGTGGCTCTGAACCTGACCCAGTGTGCCTGGCTGCTGCTCTTGGCTCTGTACATGGCTACCTGGAAACCTCAGGCCTCTTTCTAGGGTCTCCCAAGCCCGGGGAGCCCCTCAAGGGCAGGGTTCTGCCTTCCACTGCCAGGGCTCCTGACAAGGGCTCATGGCTGTGACCCTACCAGCTCTGCATGTGTGGGAGTCAGAACTCTCCAGACAGAACTGGGCCAGATAGAGCCAGTTTGCAGGACTGTGGCTGGAGTGTGAATACCCTCTTTTCCTACAGGTGTGAGCAATCCTGAAAAAATCCAAGAGAATGTGCGGAACGCCATCAGGGGCAAGTTCCCCTTGTATAACCTGGGCTTTGGCCACAATCTGAATTACAACTTCCTAGAGAGTATGGCCCTGGAGAATCACGGGTTTGCCCGGCGCATTTATGAGGACTCGGATGCCAATTTGCAGTTGCAGGTATGCCTTGTCTTGCATACTTCCAGGAATGAAGACCTCATAACTGTACCACCATGTGACAGTTTCAGTTGTTAGAGTTTTCTCTTGGATTGAAACCTACCTCTGAACACCTGTGACCCATTAATAGTGGTCTGATTTTGTCCTCGGGCTACACAGAATAGGCCTGCTTCTATAGTAGGGTTGTCAGAGCAAATATATGACATTTGATTAAATATGAATTTCTGAAAAACAGTGAACTCAGGTTTAGTGTAAGTATGCTCCAAATATTGCATAAGACATTGTATTCATTTACAAGAGCTGTCATAACAAAGTACCACAGAAATGTATTTTCCCTTAATTCCAGAAGCTGGATGTCCCAGATCAGTGTGGCAGTGGGTTGGTTCCTTCTAAGGACTAGGAGGGAAGGGTCTGTCCTGGGCGACTCTCCTTGGCTTGTCTGTGGTCATCTTGACCCTGGGTCTCCACATGTATCCTTCTGTGTTCAATCTCTTCTCCTTATAAAAACCCCAGCCATATTAGATTAGGACCCACCTAAAGACTTCATTTTGGAGACACTATCACCAAATAAGGTTGAATTTTAGGAGTACGCATTCAACCCATAATAGACTTACACATACTAAACAATTACTCATTATTTATCTGTCATTCACTCCAACTGTATAAAACTCCTTTATATTTGCTGAATCTGACAACCTGTTTCTCCCCCTGGTTGCCAAGGTCATCTCCATCCCTGCAGTTTCAGCCTGGCACCTCCCATCTGCCTGAGATCTCTGCACTTCCATCCATGACACCTTCTCAAGTCTGCCTTTCTTCCCTTCCTTTTCTCCTTCTTGCTTTTCTTCCAACGGACATTCCTTAAATACTTTCTGTATGACAGGAACTCTGTCCTTTCTTTCTCTTCTCCCAGGTGTCTATCTAGGAGCTGGGGCTGGGGGAGTGAAGGAGGAGCCGGAGGACATAGTCAGGGCCATGGTAAAGTGGAAGCCGGGCTCGGTGGCTCAGCCTGTAATCCTGTGCCTTTGGGAGGCTGAGGTGAGTGGATTGCCTGAGCCTGTAGGTTCGAGACCCGCCTGGGCAGGCGAGACCTCATCTCTACAATAAATCAAAAAAATTAGCCAGGCGTGGTTGCGTGTGCCTGTAGCTCCAGCTACTTGGAAGGCTGAGGTGGAAGGATCGCCGGAACCCAGCAGGTCGAGGCTGTGGTGGCCGGGAGCGGCCACTGCACTCCATTCTGGGCGACAGTGAGACTCCAATTCAAAAAAAAAAAAAAGAAAGTGAAAATCAGGAGCCAGGCTGGCCCAGCCCTGGGGGACAGACACTATGCTATAGCATTGGTGGCAGCTTGTCCACCCTGGGCCTCTTCCTGTCTGTCTTGGGGTCTGAGGTGATCCATTCCAATCTGAACTACAGGGCTTCTACGAGGAAGTGGCCAACCCACTGCTGATGAATGTGGAATTGGAATACCCTGAGAATGCCATCCTGGATCTCACCCAGAACAGTTATCAGCACTTCTACGATGGCTCTGAGATCGTGGTGGCTGGACGCCTGGTGGACGAGTACAAGGATATCTTTAAAGCAGATGTGAAGGGCCATGGGGTGAGCTGGACCAGGGCCTGGACGTATGCTGGGAAGGGGGACCAGACCGATGGAGCTCTGGCCAGATGTGCCAGCTTTTGGGCCAGGTGTGGTGGTCCCTGAACCCAGCCCACTTGTCTCCAGCCCCTCGCCTCCTCCACCCCCGCCCCAGGCCATCAATGACCTGACCTTCTCAGAAGAGGTAGACATGAAGGAGATGGAGAAGGCCCTGCAGGAGCGGGAATACATTTTTGGGGATTATATCGAGCGGCTCTGGGCCTACCTCACCATTGAGCAGCTGCTGGAGAAACGGTGAGCCAGGCCCCATGCTGCCCCTACCTGTGCCTGCCCCTGTGTTGGCTGTGCTCTGGGGGAGCACGAGAGGAGGAAGACTTGAGCACATCCCAGGGAGGCACACTCCTAGCTAGTCTCAGCTATGCTGCCCTCTTCTTGGCACAGCACCAGGATTGTTTGCAGAGCAGTCTGTAAGAAGCCCTGTGCTTTCACATCTAGGCCTCTTGCCCAAAGGCTCAAGTGGGCAAGCGCTGTGGCCAGCAGCCTGGGTGTGCCCTTGAGGGCAGGGCAGGGCCTCAGCACACTGATCCCTACACCTAGCAAGGTCCAGTGTGGGCGAGGCTGAACAGAACTGGAGTCTGGGACTGCAGCCCTCAGCTTCCTGAGGGCAGAGCTGGGCCAGCTCTTGAGGGTGAGGTCAGTGGTCATTGAGGCAGGTAAACTCATAAAGCCCTAGCACAGAGTTTGGCCAGCTGTAGTCCCTTGCATTTTATAGGTGGGAAAACTAAGGCCAGAGGAGAAACAGGGCTAGACCACATGCCACAGGAGCTGGAGAGTCAGTCTTTTCTGAGCTCCAATAGGCTCTACTCCCCAGGACCCACAAAGGGGTGGAGGAGAAGGGACCTTGGCTGCTTCTGGCACTCCTGGCCTGGTTCTGGGACCCAGGGCATCCAAGGCAGGCAGCAACTATTCTCTGGGCTGACCCTCCTGACCACCCCCTCCTCACAGCAAGAACGCCCATGGTGAGGAGAAGGAGAACCTTACAGCCCAGGCCCTGGATCTGTCCCTGAAGTATCACTTTGTGACTCCGCTGACCTCCATGGTGGTGACCAAGCCTGAGGACAATGAGGACCGGCAGGACATTGCCGACAAGCCTGGGGAAGGTGGGCACAGGGAATGGAAGCCAGAACCCAGAGGTCTCCCTCCAGGACCCTGGGCGCTCAGCAGGGGAGTGGGGCAGGCCGAGGAGAAGGGCCAAGGGGTGGGGAAGGCGGCATGGAGAGTGAAGCAGTCAGCATGGACAGCAGGGCATGGGATGAGGAGGATGTCTGCATTTCTAGAGGGATGAGAGTAAATGGGGCACCTTGCCCCGGGCCCATTTCAAGAGAAAGGACTTAGGCTGTAGCATGGAAGGATTTAGTTAGATTAGAAGAAGCATTTTCAACCTGAAGGTTAGGCCTGGAGCAGGCTACCAGGCATCTGGGGCTTGTGAGAGCTCTGAGAGTTGGAGGCTGTGACCAAGCCTCCTCAACCAGACCACAGACCACCCTACTCAACGGGAAGATGCCCACTGGGTTTCTGGGACAATGACACAGGGCATGTGGCTGAAGGGTTTTGCATGGGAAGGCACGGGAGGTAAGAAGCTGGACCAGGCCTGTGGCTTCCGGGAGCTCCTGGTTCCAGGCAGGAATAGCTGACTGCTGAGAGGCCCACACCTGGGACTGACTAGCCAGGCACCAAGCTCTGGCCCCTGCTCCAGCCGCTGCCTTTGTTTGCATTGGTCCCACACCAGTAGTCCATGGCTTCTAACGTGTCTGTCCTTTTCCTCCTTCGCTGTGCTTGTGGATGCAGAAGGTAAGTGTTGGCGAGCAGCTGGGTGGGCATTACAGAAGGAGGGCGAGAGAGCACTGAGGGGCCTTTCCTCACAAGCCATTGTGCACGCAGGACACCTGGACCCAGTCCAGCTCTATTGCCAAGTAGTGACTCTGCCCCTCTCTGAGCCTCTGGGTTCCCATCGGTTGCTTGAGGGAGACTTCCCCTGTCCAGGGAGAGACAACTCGTATGAAAGTGAGCTGTGACCTGCAAAAACAGCAAGTTAGCATGTTAGTCATTTATACTCCCTTAATCCCACAGCAACTCTCCAAGAGGGTCCTTTTTATGATTCGCAATTTTCAGTGAGAAAACAAGGCATAGTGAGGTTGAGTCTATTTGCTGAGGGACCACAGGGTTCTGCGTTTCTTGTCATAAAATTGGAGCCTCACCTGTCACAACCCTCTACCATGGAGCAGGGCCCCCAAAGACCCTACTGTCCTGCCTGTTTTCTTCTGTGTCAGGTTCAGGTTTGGGGTGGGTCATCACTTTCCCTTCATGACACCCTAATTACTGGCACATGTATTTACATTTGTGTTTGCATGCATACATTTGTATGCGTGCAAACTTACATGTGAATTTGAGTGGGTGTGGGTGTGGGTGGGTGTTTCACTACCAAGGAGCAACTGACAGCTGTGAGCCTCCACCCTGGAGGGTGGAGAGTCCAGGGGTGAGGGCAGATTCCACTGTGAGCCTGACTCAGGAGAGAGTAGCTGCCAGCTCCCTGGCTTTCATCTTAGTCACATCAAAATGCCCCTAGCACTGAAAATACACTCCGATTGCCACCAGCCCTACAAAGTAGTTCCAGTGCATGTCCCCTATCTAAGCCAAAGCTTTGGGACCACATCTCCACCTCTATCTGACAGTGTTGGGACCCCACTGGGGCCAGTTGCTCCCAAGACAGAAGGCAGAGGGTTGGTGGAGACGGAACCCCTAGACCCTGCTCACAGCTGCCTTTTGTCTTCTCTTCAGGCACATCTGTGGTCCCATCCATGGCCTTGATGAGTGAGTATATGTGGCTGTTGAAGCCCCCTCTGTGCACTGCCCAGAACTTGACCCTGCCCTGCTCCCCTCTGTGGTCTTACCTGAATCTGTTCTTGGGGACACGCTGATACACACGGTGTCCTGAGGAGATTGGAGGCTGGGGCGTTAGGGAGCATGAAGGGAAGAGGCAAGAGTCAAACTCCAGGTGGGGTCCTGGCACCTACCAGGGCTGCTGGCTTAGCTCAGGCCTCTCTCACTTTGCATTTACAGCTGGCTACCAGCCTCCTCAGAACGCCTACTTCTACGGTGAGTTCCCTGGCTCCCCCCGGGGTCAAGGCTCAGGGTCCCGGGCACAGCTCTCCTGCATGTCTAGAGGTCCAGCTCAGGGAGGCCCCTGGTACGGTGTGAGGTGCCAGAAGCCAGCCCTTTGTCTGATGTGCCCTCAGTGGATGGAGACCCACACTTCATCATCCAAGTTCCGGAGAAAGACGATGCCCTCTGCTTCAACATCGATGAAGACCCAGGCACCGTGCTGCGCCTCATTCAGGACCCAGTCACAGGTGGGGGATTCAGGCTGAGGCTGGGGACAGGGGGCTCTTCTTGGGAGGACCTGGAGCCCCCAGGTGGGCACAGGGCCAGGTCCTAACTCTGCCCAGTAATGCGTCACCTTCCCATGCAGAGCATGCAGGGGTGGGCACTGCCCAAAGCCACAGGCTTCCTCAGTCCCCAGATGACAGCACTATGGAGAGATGGTTAGACTGGCTAGGAAGCCTGGCCTGGGGGTAGGACCCTGCGCAAGTCTGGGGAATCATCTTTCTCTGACTCCTGGCCCAGACAAGGGACACATCCACAGTGTCTCAGCATGACCCAAACCTAGGGTTTCTAAGAACAGGCAGAGCTGGACTCTGAAGTCTGGGTCTCTCCTGTGGTCCCCACTCAGCTACTCTTCAGCAGGTCTGGTTGAAGGGAAAGGTACATCCCTCAAGACCAGTCTGAACTCAGAAGTTCTCACTGACCTCCCCGGCCCCATCCCTCTGGCAGGCATCACAGTTAATGGGCAGATCATTGGTGACAAGAGAGATAGCCCTGACTCCAAGACCAGAAAGACTTACTTTGGAAAACTGGGAATTGCCAATGCTCAGATGGACTTGCAGATTGAGGTGACGACGGAGAAGATCACCCTGTGGAACGGGGCTGCGCAGAGCACTTTCAGATGGCTGGACACAGTCACAGTCACGCAAGATGGGTAAGTTCCTCTACAAGGTCTCCAAGGGACACTACGGCCTGAGAGACTATGGAGGCTCTTGAAGGATTTGGACAAACCCCAGGACAGGAAGTCCATGGAGGTCACAGGAAAGATCAGGGGCCTGAACCCAGGCCCCCGCCACAGAAGAGAGTGACCATGATGGCCCCCAACCAATCCTTGGGGCCCCATCAGAGCCAGAATTGGCAGCTGGACAATTCACAGGACTGACTTTGAGGGAAGGGCTGGCTGGAGGAAAGCATTAGGTGATCACAACAATAACCCCATTTGCACCTTCTGCGGCTGAACTTGTTAGTTCTAAACTCCTCACTCTCTCCCATGGCTTCCGATGCCCCAGAGCCAGGTGGGCAGGGTAGGAGTGCTACTCCCACTGAGGCTCAGAGAGGGGGCAGAGTCTGCCCAATGCCGCACAGGAAGTAAGTGCTGGGGTTGGACCCCAAACCTCCGGACTCCCAGGCCAGCCCTCTTTCCTGCTTACAGAAGAACAAGGATCCACTTGATGGAGGGCATAGAGAACATGTATGAGGCATCCTCTTTCCAACACTCCTGAGATAGTTGAGTCTGTGGGCTTTCAGGGGCCATGGACTGAGAGGGTCTTGTAAAGTCATCCTTGATTCAGATGCCCATTGTCATGGCCACTGGCCTCATAGCCACCGGCTGACCTCCTCCTCTCTTGTAGGCTGTCTGTGATGATCAACAGAAAGAAGAACATGGTGGTCTCTTTTGGAGATGAGGTTACCTTTGTGGTTGTCCTGCACCAGGTTTGGAAGAAACATCCCATCCACCATGACTTTCTAGGCTTCTATGTGGTGGACAGTCACCGGATGTCAGCACAGACACATGGGCTGCTGGGTACGCAATGTTCAGATCACAGGCTTGTTCAGGTCAGATAGCAGTGTGAGAAAGAGATGTACAAGGCCTTCCCACTCACCTAGCTCACGACACCCCATTCAGCCTTTCTGTCAACCCTTAAAGGTCAGCAGCCATGTTACCCATGTCAGTTACTAGGAGCTAACAATGTTAATGTTTTCATTCTCAGGGCAATTCTTCCACCCCTTTGACTTTGAAGTGTCCAATATCCACCCAGGCTCTGACCCCACAAAGCCAGATGCCACGATGGTGGTGAAGAACCATCGACTGACTGTCACCAGGTGAGAGGCCTCTTCTGATACCTCTCCCTCTCAGCAACAAGACAGGAAGAGGAGAAAGCCCTCTCTGCCCAGGCAGGGCTTATTTGCATGGTGGGCTGTTGTCTTATGTGAGGTACCCTTGTTTCCTTTGAGGTCTTGGCCCTTCTAGCCTCCTCCTATTCGATGAAAAGTGCAAGCTTGATACCCTTGAAAGTGTAATCATGTCACCTAATTCTTGACCAAATAATTTTGGACTCTTAGAATTGCCAACTTCACACCCTCTTCAAACCTCAGGTCCCTGACCATAGCAGCCATCACAGCATCTCTCTTCTTTTTCCCAGGGGTTCTCAGAAAGACTACAGAAAGGATGCCAGGGTTGGCACTAAGGTCATCTGCTGGTTTGTCCACAACAACGGGGAAGGGCTGATTGATGGTGTCCATTCCGACTACATTGTCCCCAACCTGTTTTGAGGAGACACAACAACAGCTCCTGCTGAGATGGCTGACCCAACTTGCCTGACATCTGGAACAGGGGCACAGAACAGAGCCTGTGGGAGGGGCTGGGAAAATAAAGCTCAAAGTGAAAACCAGACAGCTGCCAGCCTCTACACACCTTCATGAGTCTCTGCTCCAGGCAACAGGCAGCTGGACACACAGCAGCTCAAATAAGGGACAGCTGGCAGGAAGGCAACTTCTTAGATCTCTCAACTGACACAGTTAGAGACAGAGTAGGTTGGGGTGGCACTTTGGGGAGTCACATGTGTGATAGTTTGGGAAAGAAAAAAATCTGGAGCTCTGACAAGTCAGGTGAGTGCATTTCAGTGTCCAAGAAGGTCATGAGAAAGGCAAGGGGTCATCGCTCAAGAACTCCTATGAGGGTCTTCAGAAGTAGATAATGCTCCAGGGCAAACACAGCCCACATCTAAGTGGGGATATCATCTGCCCCTCTATCTGTCCATCTATCCACCCATCCACCTATCGTACCATCCATACATCCTATCAACCATCCATCCATCCATCCTCAACCGTTTACCCATGCATTCATCCATCTGTCCATCACTCTAGTATCCACCCTATCATCCATCCATCCTTCCAACTACCTGTCCATCCATCTATCCACTCACACACCCACCCACCCACCCATTCACCACCTGATCGTCTGTCGGTTCATTCATTCATTCCATCTGACTGTCCATATATTCACCCACCAGCAGACAAACGCAATGCTCTGGGGACAGGATCTGGGACCACACAGTTCAGTAATCCTGTCCCATTTTCATGGTTGCCCATTTGTCTTCAGCTGGGCCAGGCATCTCTGTACTCCTCCAGTTTTACCTCATGGTGACCACTTGTTCTACCCTCCCAACGAGTCTGGGTGGAGTATCAGGTCAGAGAAAAGTTTCCGGGGAATGAATCTGAGAGAGCTCCAGCTTAGACAACCCTCTCCCACCTGGACAACCTCAGCCGCCCCTTCCTGGGTCTCCCTGACTCCATACTGTTTTCCACAGCGAGCTTTTCACAGAATAAAACTGCTTACCACTCCCTGCCTAAATCCTCACAAATGACATTTCCCATCCACTGCTCTTGGGACCAAGACAAAGGTACGACCTAATGCCTCTCCACCCTCCCCTCATACACCAGGTCCTTCCCTTGCCTTCTGGGTTTCAGACACACAGGCTGCTCCCACTTGTGCAAACATAATCCCTCCTGCCCCAGACTCTTTGCTTCTGCTCTTCCGTCTGCCTGAGGGGCTACAGACATGCTGGGCAGAGAACGTCCCACTGAAGAAAGCCGTGAGTGGTTCTGCTTGATGGCAGAGCAGGGGGCACAATCAGGCTGGAGGAGGTTAGAATCAGACTGGGGAAAACCATGGGTGTCAGGGTGGGGGAAGGTCACATTTGGGGTGGGTCACTAGGTAGCTGTCCTACTTCCCACTGCAGGGTCTCCTGCAGGGCAGGAAGGTGGTCCAGAAGGAAATGTTTATCATCAGAGAAGACCCCCAGGTGGCACAGGATGCTACTGGCAGACTACTGGCTGTTATGAGACATGGCTTCCAACCTGGAGGTCTTTCCATGGCCCCAGGGTGAATGAAGCAGAGGTCCAACCTGAACTGGCTAAAAAGTCCTAGGCCTGTGAGCGGGCAGGCCCTGCCATTGTGTTCAGTCCTGGGTAGGCTGAGGGGCTTCATAGCTGTAAGCCAGTCATCTTGAGGTCAGTTTTCACATCTGTGAATTGGGGTCAGTGATCCTGCCAGATAGAGGGTGAAAAGGCATCCTCATTATGCTTTCTGATCTTCCTGATATGGCCATCTCTGCCTGGCAGCCCCAGGCAGCAGTCAAGCGAGGGGGCTGGAAGGAAGGCTGGAAGAGGTCCCTCTCCCCATCCATGCAGGCAAAAAGTAGGTGCACTCTGTTCTTTCTCCAGTCCCACATCACCCTGGCTCTGCCTGTTTCTACCGACAGTCTGGCTTTTAGGGTGGAAGGCAGATTCCATGGCCTGGTGCACACAGCACATGCCAGCCTGGCCCTCCTCCCCTCCCATCTTGTTCAACAACAGCCCTCCTTCAGCTTCCTTGATCTCAGTGCACAGCATCTGACTCTAGGCTGAACACATGTGTTCCTACCACCTGGCATCCTTGTCCTCCTTTTCCACTGGGCTAACTTCTCTTCCTTCTTCGATCTCATTCCCAAAAATACTACCCCCAGGAAGCCTTCCCTAACACTCCTATGTCTCCCTCTGGGCTCCTGCAGGACCTTGTTATTTTCTGGGTGGCAGCTGTCACAAGAGACATGGTGTCTGTCACGGTATAGTGTACCCACAGCACCTAGCCCAGGGCCTGGCCCAAGTAGGTGCTGGAGAGCACTAGGCAGATGAAAGAGTGAAAAGAGCATGGATCTACTTCCAGTTGATCACAGAGAACACCTGTTCACAGTTGCTGATAGGCCAGAATATCAGTCATGACCCCTATGCTTCTGCACAACTTCCGCAGCCCAGCCTACATGGTCAAGTCCCAGAGGGATGAGCTTGAGGTGGGCACTCCTCTCTCCTCCCTGTATGTCAGGGCTAGCCCCATGGCAAGTCACCCTGAGGTTGCTCTCTTATCCCACAGAGCTCTGGCCTGATCCCCTCTGAACAACCTTTACACGTGACTCAGTCTGAGCCCCTACCTGCCAATAGGGCTTGATGGGGAGGGAGCAGTATAGAAATTGTTTCTGTGTCCCAGCTATTTGGGAAGCTGAGGCAGGAGGATTGTGTGAGCTCAGGAAGATGAGGCTCGGTGAGTGTGTTTCTGCGTGTTGGGCAAGCCTGCTGCTGGAGATTCCTTCCACTGGCCTGTCCTCTGAACTTCCAGAAAGACCCACTCAGCAAACACCCTCGATAGCTCAAGAGCTGAGAAAAAATGTGTCCCTGATGAGCTGGTCTGTTTCTTCTTAGAAAACAACGAGCTCAAATGGGCAAAAGATATGAACAGACACTTCACAAAAGAAGACATTCGAGCAGCCAACAAACACATGAAGAAATGCTCAACCTCACTAATCATCAGGGAGATGCAAATCAAAACCACACTGAGATACCACCTAACTCCAGTCAGAATGGCAATTATCAACAACTCAAAGAATAACAGCTGCTGGAGAGGGTGTGGTGAAAAGGGAACACTTCTACACTGTTGGTGGGAGTGTAAACTAGTGCAACCTCTGTGGAAAGCAGTGTGGCGATTCCTAAAAGCTCTAAAAATTGACCTTCCATATGAC